GAGGATAAAGCAAAGAACTGCGTGTGAGATGAGGAAGGCTGGGACTACAGCAGGGATGGTTGATGGCTGGTGCTGTGACATCATCCCAAAACTCAGCATCTGAGCCCTCTGGTAACAGAACACACAGGCACATGAACTTGTGTGCATGAGTGTGAGGAATAGAAATAAGGAAGAAAGAACCAAAAATTCATGGAGACATACAACAAAACAGTGCAGGATTCCAATTAAAGTTCAACAAAGTGGGACTTGATATTACAAGTTGACTGTTATAATCTCCCTGAAGGTAATTATAGCCCATGCTACAAGCACAAAGAGAGAGACAGGAAGTAACATCCATTGCAGAAATCATGAGGCACACTTTAGTATTTGTACAGGCTGGACAGGATCCCTTCTTTTGGGTCCAGTCATGAACATCATAAATTTAGGCAGGACAGCCTCAGCAAGACCATGTGAATCAGAACAAGTCTAGACTTCAAAGCTCATTTACTGGGAGAAGTTTTCAGAAATGGTTAGTGAGGAGACATGCTCTGGAGGATTCATTAAAATTCTTACTCCTGGACAGCATTTTCAGGGGAAATCAAGTCACCTGAGGAGAAGACACTGTGAAATGTCCTCCAGGACAAGACCAGGGCTCACTATTGCCCCAGGGATGATTAGATTGGGCCCTTGTGATTCTCCTTTTATCAGCTTCTCCAATACTTCTTTCCTCAAAGTTCTGCTATGTTCATGTGTATCATGGACCTGAGCAGGAGAAGAATATAGGAAAATCTGAGTATGCTGATCCCAAAACTCCCATAGAATCACCCTCCATAGCTATGGAGCTTTTCCTCACAAGGACAGTGGATTACAGACCCAAGGAGCCAGCAATTTGCTTTCTCAGGATCCTACTCTAGGTTCTCAGTTGCAGTCTTTCTTTTATCAGAATAAACTAGCCATATCAGTGACTGGGTCTTAACTAAATATTTTATTCACCTTTTATGCTAACCATATGCCTACCTACACCTTATCCTGCCAGAATATCCACTTCCTCTTGTTTCAGTGTCCTAGGAATTTTGATCTTTGAAATGAATCCAAGAGCAGTTACTGTGGGATAGCAACTTTATTATTTCCTTTTGGAGGTAAGAACTTTGTCTGGATCTGGGCTATATGTAGAGTTTGTAGTCTTGACAAAAAGAATTAAGGCCTTACACAACTCTGCTTCTTGAATTCTGTAGTTCCTTGACCTTTATTGCTTACTCACTCCTCTCTACCATCTGGGCATCTTGCACATGAACCAATCTTGTACAGGAATACTCTTAATCATTCTGTACCATGGCTACACCTGAATTTCTAGGACTCTTGATTATGTATTCTTGGAAAAATAATCCATACTTTTCTACCTACATTTTCGAGGACTTTAATAGTCTGATATAGAGTCTCCAAATGATTAGTACCTTAAGAGAGCACTATGTAATATTGTTTGAAGTTCCTCTTCCCTACATGCCTGCTTAACACTAAAAATGCCATGAAAATTCAACTGAAGACAGTAATGAAAAAAATTAAATACATAAAGGACATAGAAAAAATATCCTTATAAATTTTTAGCTTTACTCTGTTAATTGTTTATGATTTCCCATGAGTAATAACAAGGCTTCTCTATTAATCTCAGCCTTTTCTGACTGTTCTTGCATTAAGTATTGCACAAATTGCCAAAAGTTTTCTGTTTGAACAGAACAGTTTTCTGTTTGAACAGTGGTGTGTTTTTGTGTGCTCTTTCTCTGTAAAGGACATTTTATGGGAGAAACCAGAAAGTGGAAATGGGGTGAAGGTAAAAGTCTTAAATCAGAGGTGAATGGCAGGTAGGGAGGTTGTAGCATCCTAGTTATAACACCTCATACCTCTTTGCAATATTATCTAAATTTGGGTGCAGACATCTGGATGAATATTCACTGCTCTTCATTTTCCTCTCTTTTTTTGTCTAATCATTTATGTTTTAGCCAATGAAGAGCAATCCAAGTGCGATATTCACCACAGATCACTGTCATTTTCATTTTTTAAAAAAATTTTATTTAAAGAAAGACTAAACAAAACAGAAAACAGGTAGAAATGAAATATACTTTCAAAGAAAAAGTAAACAGTAAGAAATCACTGGTAAATGTTTACATATTGTCCTCTTACAAATAGTTGTTCAAGATACAAAAGTAGAACATATAAAATGGGGACTGTAAAGAGTTCTGTTTAACCATCCAACAAAAACTTAGTAATATGGTTATCAATACTATACACTTAAACATACATGCAATTATCTATATCTTCATTTATGTTGAGATTAAACAAACCAAAGCAGGCTAAAATTACTCTGAATAAAGAATAATAGTTTTGATGGATTTTACATCATGACACTCTGGGATCAGCACTGGGTACTGTAGTATCTTTTTTTCTTCAAAGTATTTGTTGATTTCATCATGTGTCATAAGATCCGTTCTTGTAAACTGTTTATAGGTTCTACACATGCATGAGTCTTAACATGTATTTCTATCCTTTCTATATTAGAGGAGAAACAAAGCATAGCAGGACAAAACAAAACATAGTCATATAAACATATAAAATGAAAAAGACATATAAAATTGCTGTACAAGGATGGTTACTACCATGGTTACTGTGTTGTCTCTTGTTATCTTCAATAGAATTGGCTATACCATTAAACATAGTATAATTGAATATATCAGTACATAACAGTATTAATAAAAGCACAACTTTGTAGATAGTATAAAACTACAAAAACAGGCAGTAATCAAACCAGGATGTGTATCATAGTGAATCTTGTCATCTTCAGTGTAGTTGCCTATACTCTCAGACTTGATATTATAATCATAACAGTTTTGAATAAAATCTATTGATACCAAACAGCAATCAAACAAATCAGATTTAACTAAGATCAGTCATGGTGAAACAGTATAAGTTATTCAGGGCTCCAGATTAAGTTAATAGGAAATTAAAGAAGATTACTGTGCTATATCCTGATATTTTTGGGATAGCTGTCTGTACCCTCAGATCTAGTGCATGTAGACAAACTGAGACAGAATAAATTCTATCTAAGCAGAGCAGTGCGATTAATATGGGTTTTAATTACTGAAACACTATTAACAATATCTTCTGCCATCTTTTTAAAGACTATTCTTACCCTTTCACTCCCACCAGGGTGCACTGTGCATTTTTGGGTTTCACCAACACCCTCAGTTTTAAATTGGTAGGGGAACCAGCTGTTTACCTAAGTGGTTCTGAACCTTCTCCCTCCTGAACTTGACCTGTAGTCATGTTTCTCAAGTTAGAACTGCAGCAAAGGAAAGATCTGAAGTAAAGCAAAGGAAAGATCTGAATCTCCAGAAAATTATATCATTTTTAAAAGAATGTATTTCTTTGAAACGATCTGTACCCAGAGTTCACTGTGGCAGAAGTACTGGAAAGACTTCACTGTATTGCTGTTTTTTTTCAGTGTCCTGAAGTTTATAATTCAGGCCCCTTTCTCTTTTTTGTTATCCCTGACCAATATTCACTTAGCAAGCTCCAGTTCATCCTCAGCCTGTAGCTTGTAAACACTTTCTGTTAGTTCCCTCTATGTAGTCTCACAGTATATCATATTTTCCTTCAGATATTCACCATCACCACCGGGTTTTGTACTTGTAAGATTAGATTTTCGCATATATACATTTAGCCACCTATCAAGGTTGGTATTTGGTACAGCATAGGTCCTTAATATTTACTGAGTGAAAGAAAGGAAATACATGTTCCTTTAAATGTTAGGTTTTTATGATTCTACTTCTTGAAAGTTACCTCTGAGGTAATCTGGGTGGGAACATAAACAAAAGATAGGAAGAATAGGTAGGATTAATAGGAAAGAGAGAGGAACAATTTGGTTGTGAATTATCCTCTCTTCCAGAATGCCTCCTAAAGTCTTCAATCTGATTGTGAAAGACCTGAATTCACAAGAGGAAGTTAAGTGGATGTTGGCATACAAACGCCACACATTTCATGTCATTTGCTTCTCAACCTCTTTCCAAGATGCCACCAAATGATTTTGGGGGTCAGTAGAGCAATATCCTTCCTATTATTGCTAATATTTGTAAGGCACAGGCACATCTTTTGCATGCTCAGACTGTTGTTGAAAATCTTGTGTAATGGAAGTATTATGGCTTTGCCTTTTCCTAAAATGTCTGTTTTTATGATTCACTCATTTTATCCCTTCTCCTAATGACTACCATGCATCAAGAAATCTTATCATTTTCCTTGCCTCTTCTTGAGGAAAAATTTACCATTATTTTAAAAATTCAAACACTTTTACCTTTAGATCTACATCATCCACACCACTGAATCAACCCAGAATTCTACTTATCTCCAGCAGAGCAGCAGTCCACTCTTCACGAAGGTGAGGATGGTTGAACAGTACAAGAGACATCAAGTAGTCCAGAGTCCAGAGATTCTTCTCCTGAGGCAGCTATCTAACAATAAGACTTTTGTAAAGGGAAATATCTGGTCAGGTCGAGAATAGGGCAGACAGCTTCCTATGAATAACATATTAAAAATCAAACCATTATTACAAGTAGATTTTAGGAAAAAAATATCTAAATAAATGCCTAGTGGATGTTTTCATACACGTACAAAGGTGTTTTAGGACCTATTCTCCTTAAATGAAGTAAATTGTTTAAAACTGGAATCAAACTCAGGACTTTGTGCTGACCAGGAAGGCACTGTGCCGCTGAGCTATATCCACAGCCCAATAAAATAAATTTTAAATTTGCAATTCATACATGTTTAGCTAATGATATGTCATATTCAATAAAAGTGTTGATAAGTTCATAAGCCAGGAAGGGCACATTTAACTATATGAAAGAAAAAATACTTCATTGGATTTCTCTTGCCTACCCCACTGTTCTAGAACAATCCAAAGCTAGGCTGAGCTCCTCAGAAGAAATTGCACTGACAAACCATCTGGTTCTAGACAACTAAAGAAACCACACAGAATGGAGCTCTGGAATTCCACGTTAGGAAGTGGCTTCATCTTGGTGGGGATCCTGAATGACAGTGGGTCACCTGAACTACTCGGTGCCACACTTGCAGGCTTGTACATGTTGGCTCTGGTCAGCAATGGCCTACTGCTCCTGGTCATCACAGTTGATGTCCGGCTCCATGTACCCATGTACCTCCTGCTGGGGCAGCTCTCTCTCTTGGACCTCCTGTTCACATCGGTTGTCACTCCCAAGGCCCTCATGGATTTTCTGAAGAGAGAAAACGCCATCTCCTTTGGAGGCTGTGCCCTTCAGATGTTTCTGGCCCTGACACTGGGTGGTGCCGAGGATCTCCTACTGGCCTTCATGGCCTATGACAGGTATGTGGCCATTTGTCATCCTCTCAACTACATGGCCTTCATGAGGCCTAGAGTCTGCTGCTTTATAGTGGCCTCATCCTGGACCCTATCAACTCTGAGTGCTTTAGGAAATACAGTGTACACCATGCACTACCCCTTCTGCATGTCCCGGGAAATAAGACATCTTTTCTGTGAGGTTCCAAACTTGCTGAAGCTAGCCTGTACAGACACTTCCAAATATGAACTCATGGTTTATGTGACAGGTGTGACTTTCCTCTTGCTCCCTCTTTCTATCATTGTTATTTCCTACAGTCTGATTCTTTTCACTGTGCTTCACAGGCCCTCAAAGGAGGGGAGGAAGAAAGCTCTTGTCACCTGCTCCTCTCACTTGACTGTGGTAGGGATGTTTTATGGGGCAGCTGCACTGATGTATGTCCTACCTAGTTTCTTACACAATCCCAAACAGGACAACATTATCTCTGCTTTCTACACAATTGTCACCCCAGCCCTGAACCCCCTCATTTATAGCTTGAGGAATAAGGAGGTCTTGGGGGCTTTGAGGAGGGTTCTGGGGAAATGTATGATGCAAACAGACCTACCCTCTAGATAGATCTCAAAAATTAATTCTTTCTTAATGTCAAAAGATTTCTTTTATGCATCAAATTCTTAGCACAAAACTAATATAGTGGAAAAATGTGTCTTTTTATACAGAAGTACTGAAATGTAAATGTGTTTTTCAATACTCTTTAAATCTTCTTTCTGTATTTTATAGGATTGGGTCATACTGTGTAATATTACTACTCACTGGTTTTAAATTTTACTCTATTTCTCTAGGTAATTTTTTTTGAGAAGTTGTAAAGGTATGACTAAGTGCCTCTAGAGCTTTGTAGCCCATACTGTACCAAGATAATAGGCAGTGAAATTAGTTTCAAATGAATAACCTAAGAAAGACTCAGCTATCTGTGTAAAAAGGATATTAAGATTTGCATAACATTTAGAGAAATTAATATATTAAAAGATCAGATAAGCACTCACAGTCTTGTTTAATGTCCTAATTGGTAGTTTGCTTTATGCGTCAAGTGTATTTTTTGCCTCTCTCCAAACATTGGTTGTTATGGATGGTCTAGTAAGTATGTGTTTCTGTTGTGTGTGTGTTTGTATGTTTTTAAATCTGAATATCTCCTTGTGCTTTAAATTCAAATAGTAAAGACTTAATGAATTCCCCATGGAAACATAGGCCATAACATAATCAAAGTTTATGGTAAAATAAATTAAAAAAACAATAGAATCAAACAGTGCTTTTCCAGTCTCTAAATCTTCCCAGGCATTTTCAACAATACAATGGGTTCATCTTTTTGTTGTATCTGATTTTAAAAGTATACAATTTGTACATGTATAAAAATATCACATGACAGTTCATAGCTGTGCATAGCTTTTTTCTATTTTAAAACTGTTATACATAAAATAAAAAAGCTTTAAAATGAGAGAACAATATACTTTATTTTCTTGGGAACTTAAAATTGCTGTACAGCTACTAGTTTATTTAAAGTTCTCATTCGAACAAAACTCATATAATAAAAAGCTGTGTGCTCCATTTTGATGGCAAAAAATAACACAATTGATCAAAAGTGACACTATTTTTAGAGGATATTGCTGTTTGGTGAAATTAATTAACTCTATTTCTGTTTTTTCTTCCAAAGTGAAACACCAGTATAAATGCTTTGTTTATAATGATAGAAGTTATTTTTAAATTAATCTCATATTCTTTGAAAATCAATCAATGGTTCTAGAAGCAGGGGATGGTGAGTGGCAAGAAGGATAGAGAAATGCTGACTGATGTACTGAATGACAGTTAGATAGAAGCAATAAGTGCTGGTGTGCTAGGGTGACCATAGATTATGATAATGCACTGTACATCTTAAAAGATAAAAGAAAGGATTTTAGAAGTTCTCACTATAAAGAAATGTTAAATATTTGAGGAGGCAAATATTTATCCTAATTTAATTATTAAGGTATGTACACATGTGCTGCAACATAATGTTATGATACCTCATTAATACTTTTATTTTATGTATTAAAAATAAAATTTGAAATAAATTAAAAATAAGAATTTGAAATTAAAAAAAATTAAAGTCAATATTCTAGAAGTTGGCAAATGTCCTGAAAACTCTACACATATTTAGATGAACCTCCTTTTATTTTTAATATAGGCACACATTTTAGTGAGTTGCTATGTTCATATGCAGAGGTTCTTTTTTGTATATAGAGATGTATAGAGGACACTGGATCAGTTTTCAGATTTGAATGGTTAGAATTCAATCAACCTAGGAGATTTATGAACTTGAGCACTTACCTAGATGTATTGACCTCAGTCTGCAGCATTGTATGACATAAATTGACAATAATAAAAGGCCTATCTTACAGTAAGTTTATGAAGATTAAGTAAGTTAGTAAATATAAGATATTGAGTGAGTCATCTGACATATAATGATTACTATATAAATTTTAACTGTTTGGTGTTTAAAAAGTTCTGAAAATGCTAAGTGATAATATCATGTCACATTGATGGTTTATATTATAACTAGCTATGTCATCACTGTTAATTACTAATGTTTTGTGTGTACATCTGCATGTTTCCATTGAATCAGCCACATAAATCTCTTGGATATGTGACATTTTCTGCAGTTGAGCTTTTGCAATGCAAGTGTTTGGATGACAGAGTGATTTACACATCAGTGAATTAATACACTGATGAGTTCATAGTGGACTGTGTTGTTAGAAGTTGGACTCAAGAAGAGAAGTAAGTGACTGGAGGTATGATATGAAAAAGTATATTCTTATCCCCAGACACCTTCCTTTTTCTCTGGGCTTTCTGTTCTCCCTGTTCCCCCTGGTGGCCATGGGTTGAGCAGTGTTCTTGTAGAACGCTCTGCTCGCCATGCTGTTTGTTTTCTGCCTGGAAAGAAGATGCTCATGGATGAAACTTCTGAAACCAAAATCCAAAAATATTTGCTTGAAGTTGTTTATATTGGGTACTTTGTTCCAGCAGCTGAAAATTGACTAATAAAATCATTCCCTTTTTAAAGTCATAATAAATTAATTTTTATAATTTGCTTCTACTATTTTCTCTCAATGAAACTTGAAGTCATGTGGTAAAAGTAACTGCTATGGTTTATGTTTGGATGGCCCCTTCCAAGCCTCTTGCAATTATGGACGTAGCTGAATCTGTTGTTTGTGATTGATTCATTTTTTGCACTGGGATTGGTAATGTGAATGCTGAACCCACCCAGGTATGGAGATGACATACAATACAAATGTGGGAAGAGGTGTGTTTTCCCTCTTTTGCCCTGTCTGTTCTTTCTGTTTGAAGTTACCATGAATAGCTGCCCCTCAGCCACACCACCTTGCTTGGAGCTATGGTCTGAAACCTTCAAAAAATAATAAAATAAATAAATCTTTCCTTTCTTTATTTATACATGTGGGTTTGATTTATTTCACTTATGAGTATGGTCTCAAGTTGCATCCATTTATTTACAAATATCTCAATGTGATCCTTCTTTATAGCTGAGTAGTACTCCATTGTATAAAAATACAACTTTTTTTTATCCATTCCTTAGTTGATGGACACTTAGGTTGTTTCCAAGATCTGGCTATTACAAATTGTGCTGCTATAAACATGGGTGCACATATATCACTGTGGTATGATGCTTTCTGTTCTTCTGGGCATATGCCTAAAAGTGGAATAGCTGGAAAAAATGGGACTTCCAATACCAGCTTTTTGAGAAATCTCTAGACTGACTTCCACAATGGTTGTACCAGTCTACACTCCCACCAACAGTGCAGGAGAGTTCCTTTTTCCCCACAGCAGCATTTGTTGTTGGTGGGTTTCTTGATCCTGGCCATTCTTTCAGGAGTGAGATGAAATCTCAGTGTGGTTTTAATTTGCATTTCTCTAATGTGTAATGATGATGAACATTTTTTCATGTATTTATTTGCCATTTGTATTTCTTCATCTGAGAATGGTATATTCATCTCAGATGCCCATTTTAGATTGGACATTTGAATTTTGGGGTCTGATTTATTTTAAAATTCTTTATATGTTTTAGACAGAAGACCTTTTATTTGAGGGACAGTTCACTAAGATTTTTTCCTAGTTTGTGGGCTTTCTTTTCACTATGCTGAAGATTTCTTTTAACATGAAGAAACTTTTTAATAAGACATGATCTCAGTTGTTGATTCTGGGAAGTATTTCTTTGCTATTCTAGGTCTCTTCTCGTTCCAGATGAATTTTAGGAGTGATTTCTCAAGACATATGAGGTGTGTTGATGGTATTTTTATTGGAATTGCATTGATTATGTATAAGAGTTTTGGGATAATGGCCATTTTCACAATATTTATTCTTCCTATCCATGAGTGAGGGATGTCTTTCCATTTTCTGAGATTGTCTTCAATTTCTGTTTTCGGTGTATTATGATTTTCCTTGTATACGTCTTTCACTTCTTTCATGAGAGTAATTCCTAAATAATTCATTTTTTTGGTTGCTAGTGTGAAGGGTGTGGCTTCTGTTATTTTTTTGTCTGTGATCTTGTTGTTAGTGTGTAGGAATGCTATTGATTTTTGAGTATTGATTCTGTATCCAGTTGCATTGCTGAATTTGTTATATCTAGGAGTCTTTCAACAGAGTCTTGGGGGTCTTCTATGTAGAGTATCATGTCATCTGCAAACAATGATAATTTAACTTCTTCTTTTCCTATCTTTACCCCTTTTATTTCCCTCTCTTGCCTATTTGCTCTGCCTAGTACTTCCAATACTATATTAAATAGGAGTGGTGATAAAGGACATCCTTGTCTTGTGCCTGATTTTAAAGTGAAGGCTTTCAATTTTTGGCCATTTAGTATGATGCTGGCTGTTGGTTTGTCATAAATGGCCTTTATTATATTGAGGTAAAGACCATCTATTCCAATTTTCTGTAAAGTTCTTATCATGAATAAATGTTGGACCTTATCGAGGCTTTCTCTGCATCTATAGAAATGATCATGTGATTCTTACTTTTGGCTTTATTGATATGGTGGATTACATGTATTGATTTACATATGCAGAACCATCCTTTCATTCCTGGGATGAATCCCACTTGGTCATGGTGTATAATCTTCTTGATGATTTGCTGCATCCTATTTGCCAATATTTTATTGAGGATTTTTGCATCTGTGTTCATTAGGGAGATCGGTCTATAGTTCTCTTTTTTAGTTGGGTCTTTCTCAGGTTTTGGTAATAGAGTAATATTTGTTTCCAGGAACGACTTAGGAAGCATTGCTTCCCTTTCAATTTCATTGAATAGTTTGAGGAGTGTCAGCATTAGGTCTTCTTTGTATTTCTTGTAGAATTCTGCAGTGAATCCATCTGGGCCAGGGCTCTTCTTTGTAGTTAAGGACTTAATTACATTTTCAATTTCATTAACAGAGATTGCAGTTTTACATCCTCTTGATCTAGCTTTGGTACTTCATAAGTTTCTAAGAATCTGTCTATTTCTTCTGTGTTATCAAACTTTTGAGAGTAGAGGTTTTCGAAATAGGTGTTGATGATTATTTGTATTTCTATTGGGTCTGTAGT